TCGGTCAGGCTCAGGGATATTTCTGTCTTGCTAAGGGTAAAGTCGATAGGAATCCCTCGTCATAACAATTGTATGACATCGCTGCAACATTCATTGACGTCACTAACCCTAGGGTAAAGACGAGAGGAATCCCTCGTCATAATGTTTAGACGTCACGTCAACATTCATTGACGTCACTAACCCTAGGGTAAAGACAGAGAGGAATCCCTTATGCCTTGTCATAACAATTGTATGACGTCACGTCAACATTCATTGACGTCACTAACCCTAGGGTAAAGACGAGAGGAATCCCTCGTCATAACAATGTTTAGACGTCACGTCAACATTCATTGAAGTCACTAACCCTAGGGTAAAGACAGAGAGGAATCCCTTATGCCTTGTCAAAACAATTGTATGACGTCGCGGCAACATTCATTGACGTCACTAACCCTAGGGTAAAGACGGAGAGGAATCCCTTATGCCTTGTCATAACAATTGTATGACGTCGCTGCAACATTCGTTTAAGTCACTTACCCCAGGGTAAAATCGAGAGGAATCCCTCGTCATAACAATTGTATGACATCACGTCAACATTCAATTACGTCACACCAACAATAGCCGATCACCACAGATAACTCATGGAGTTTGCTGGAAAACCGTGCTATCATTATTGCTTGTGTTTCATTCAGCCTCGCACTCTTGTATTTGATGTTACCAGATAAGATTTTAAATTAGTGAATATTGAACCAGTATTAAGAGACCACTTGTGATTATAATTATAAAGACAACAATTTTAAGACATCATTTAGATGGTCTCTTAATTAATACAGGCTTTATAGATTGTATATCCTAGGTAAATTTACGTATTTTCTAAGTACATGTGCTAGGAGTTGAACCTGAAACTACAGATTGTCCATGGCTATACTGATATAGCTTAAGGGAAGTTCCTACCCCAAAAGTGTCTGTTCCTGATCAAATCTATCACACAGACACTTAGAGTGTAAGGAATATATAGTCTGTATCAGGTCAAATTTGTCTCACAGACAGTGTACAAACCTAATTCCAAGCATAGTTAGGTGTCAAATTATACCTTGTTTTCCCCCCACTACCATTGTGAAATGAATACTTATGAAATATTTAATTGAAAAGCATGTTTTTTTCAAAAACCGTGTTTGTGACTTTTTTTTTTATGTGAATGATACATTTGAAGAATTAAAACAAACACCGACATATCTGTTGTCCGATTACGCTGAAAGCTATAATAAGAGGCTTATCATGCTTAGAAGATCTCTTCTAGATCAATAGTGAATTGTTTTCGGCTAATACTTGCTTCTTTGACACGCGGAGGTAATGCAGACTGATCACACATGACACTTGCAGAATGGAGCTCACAGATTAAGGAGTTGCGAACTGTTGCCGTTTACTGCCGAATCTCCAAGGATTCCATTTTCACACTTGTCCTGCTGGCCTGCATTGATTAGCAGACTTTGTCTGTGGTACCTGTCAGTGACTTGTGCAATGGAAGTAACAGGGCGTTGAAATGTCAACGTGTGATGTGGAGGTGGCGAATCCTGACTACATCATATTAGCAGCATTATTCACCGACACAGTAGCACGAAAGCCGTTAGAGAGTCTATAAAATTGTTCTTGTAACGAGTCGTTTCATAATGTTAAAATGCCCGCGTACTCTTGGTTGAACAAATGTATTATTCTGTACGTACGTAAGAACATATTCCTGCCTAAATATCATGAAAGTACACAAATAAGTACAAAAATGAGGAACTCACACTTTTCAAATAACAAAATGTATTAATCACTGACAAAAAATTGTTGCTTGATTAACTTTTCCAAATTTGGTACATTTTGTTCAGCCAAACAGGGATGTACACCTGAGACTGTGAAAGTCTTGACAGGCACTGTAAATAATAATAATAATAATAATAATAATAATAATTTTAGGTTCTTATATACCACTTTATCACAACCTAGTTCGTAGGTCGTCTCAAAGCTGTTCACAAATCATTATCCGTGGTTGTAGGGCCTTTGCAACCAGCCAATATCTTTCTCAATTCACTGGGGAGCATACAGCTGGTGCTGCCATTTCGGCGCTCACAGCTAGCATTCTACAATTGTAGCACTGCCCAACCACGTAGTCATTTACAGCTGAGATAAGAGTGGAACAAGCGGAGTAAAGTATCTTGCTCAAAGATACAACCCAGTGTCGTGCTGTGACTCGAACCCTCAACCCTTCGGTCACGAGCCCGGCATTCTTTAACCACTAGACCACTCTGCCTCGTATAAACATATAAGGTAGCCCTGGTCACTGGTAACCACCCGTGACCCGAGTTCTCCTACCCATGGTTTACAACCACATTGAACCTTGCAGTAATATTGATCCCTTTTCTGGAGTGATCTCCCTTTAACGGGTGTAATCCTTCTTGTAGGTTCGGTAATTTGACTTTTTCTTTCATTTAAGGATCCCCGTACGACTGCCAAAAAATGTAACTACACATTGGAAACAATTTTTTCCGGCATGACTATAGCTTTGATAAATCATTTCTGAAAAGAAAACCATCCCTTGCGAGACTCTTTTGAAAGAATAATAGAAATGAAATAAACAATATATAATCAACAACTGCGTTCTGAGTGTAAACATTCAGCATGGCTTGATCGGTATTTGAACCCTGTATGTCAGCTGGTTGGGGTATTTTCCCTCTAACCGACTTAGCTACCTAATCAGTGGAAGTATTTGTGTCCAACTGCGCTACATTTAATATCAAACATGAAATTAAGGGGAGGTAATTATGTACATGAAAAAACACAGTGCAGTGGGACAGGAATCCTTAACCCTTTCACCACTGTAGACCATAATGGACTCATCCAGATCAATGCATGGTAGAGTCTACTAAAGTTACATAGGGTGTTGATTCATTTCTTTTGTACACTCTTTAGTTAAAGCTACCGACCAAACATCTTGTTATAAACCAACAGTTGGTGATCATAACATAATGTCATATTCAAATTAAATATACAACATTTGATATAGCGCCCTATCTAGCTAGAATAAGCCACTCTAAAGCACTTTACAGTACATAAATATATAATTAATACAATTAGCACATACATTAATCAATACAGTTTTGAGGAATTAGCAGGAGCTGCCTTATCAGGCGCTAACTACCGGTGGATCGAACCCTGGACGGCTGCGTGGAAGGCCGGAGTGTTAACCACTTGACCAATCTGCCCATAAAACAGAATTTCCCAAATTACTTTCTGATTGAGGTTTGTCAACCAATTGAACTGATAACATGATAATAAATGTAACCTTTTCCCCCGATAAAAATGGCTTTTCCACCATCACCAAAAATTGTATCATGAACCACAAAAAGGCAACCAGAAAGACGGATTTAATTTCCTTTGTTGTTTTGAGCGTAGAAATATGTTTATAAAGAAATATGTTTATAAAGAAATATGTTTACAAAGAAATATGTTAACAAGGAAATATTTTTACGAAGAAATATATTTACAAGGAAATATGTTTGCAAGGGAATATGTTTACAAGGAAATATGTTTACAAAGAAATATGTTTACAAAGAAATGTGTTTATAAAGAAATATGTTCATAGTTTACAAAGAAATATATTTACTATGTTTACAAAGAAATATGTTTATAAGGAAATATGTTTACAAGGAAATATGTTTACAAAAAAATATGTTTACAAACAAATATGTTTACAAGGAAATATATTTACTATGTTTACAAAGAAATATGTTTACAAAGAAATATGTTTACAAAATAATATGTTTACAAGGAAATATGTTTTTAAAAAAATATGTTTACAAGGAAATAGTGTCAAAAAGTTGCATTTAATCCCTAACTACTGCCAACATCCTTAAAAGAACTATTGTTTTGAGGGGACACATCCAGGGTCTGCTGTTAGTGTCCGTTATTTCATTTAATAAATACTAAAACAGAATTGTATTTACTAACATTTTACCGATTGTCTTTTCATTTTCACACAAATAAACTCAACAACATAAAAAATGTCTTCCTCAATCAATTTCCCCAACACATATATCGTTTTTCGTTTGAGCAATGGATACACTATAGCCAAGGTCAAAAGAAATTTACTCCCTGTCATCATCTTCTGACAGGAAATCAATGGATATTTTAATTGACGAGAGATAAAGTCAGGCAAAAATAAAACAAACGAGATCTTGTGCTACATATATATTATACCGTTTCTTATTAATCTTGAATCTGATAGTGTCGTCTTGAACCTATTTCTGTAGAAATAGATTGAAACCAATATTAGGGATTGAATATATATAAGAACAGCAATTTCAAACTGATCGTTTGTTTCTTAAATCTTAGGAAACGCATACACAAGTTGGTCTTAAATTTGGAGTATTAACGGACATTAGGTAGCTAAGAAAATAATGCATTTCTTCTGAATAACCATTTTCTGATTATAGGAATTTAAATCCTTGCTGAAATGGAAATCAGTATCATAGTGTTGCCTCTGATTAAGTTTTCTTCCCACCTCCTGAACCTGACTGAATTGGCTGATTCAGAGGTTCAGTAAAGCCTGACAGGATCGTCTGTAACTGACGCTAACCCATTCACCCATAAAGTCACATTTGAACCTTACCAAATCAAAGACTGGGCAAGTCCAATTTAAATATTTAGGGGTGAATGAGTTAACCCTTTCACCCCCATGTAACTTTAGTAGACTCTACCATGCATTGATCTGGATGAGTCCATTATGGTCTACAGTGGTGAATGAGTTAACTAAATCATTCTTACCATTCCCAAATTGTTCATTTAGGCTGCCTTATTAGGTTCAATATGGTACAATAGATTATCCCTTATTTATTCCGTTAATCAAACATGTTATGAATATGTATCAGTATATTGTTAGAATAACTTTGTTAAGAATATGTATTTTGCTATCAAAATTTCTTAATGCATAGTTACATGTCGTAGTAATTATAACCTGTGTCTTTTTTGTCTCCTTTCAGTTAACTTTGACCATTTCCAAATTCTCCGAGCCATTGGGAAGGGAAGTTTTGGAAAGGTAAGTAATATATATATATATATTAATAGAATCTTTCACCCCCTTGGGGGTGAGATAGGAGAATCTCAACCCGAGGGGAAGGATTCTTAAGTTGCCAAACACGAGGCTTTGCCGAGTGTTTGGCAACTGAAGAATCTTTTCCCCGAGGGTTTAGATTCCTCTATCTTACCCACAAGGGGGTGAATGATTCTTTCTCTCTTACCCTGTTCTTCCAATGTGTATCATATACACAATGTAACGACAACGTTACATGCTAAATTCAAGGTTGACGTGTCGTTGATGGATTGTTGACGTGACGTCATTGTATTGTTGAAGTGACGTCACACCATTGTTATGAATAGGGGAATCCCCCCGTCTCAACCCTAGGGTGAGACAAGGAAATCTCACACCGGTAAAAGTGCGGATACACCTGTCCAGGTCAGAGAAATATATATATATATATATACACATATAGTGGTCAGAGAAGCATTATCAACGGAAACTTCCCAAATAACACTGGATCCTTGCAAACATTTGTTTGTAGAATACAAATTAATTACTGAAAATATATTTATCTGTCAAAAAGATATTTTGAGAGTCTCTACTCCATATTTGTTTTATCATTTTCAGACGAATCTTCATGTCGTTTTTTCCAGCTTCAGTATCTTTCTTTACGCTTCAAATTTGCCAGTATATGATAATCTCTTTGTCATTGTTTGCACACACACGATATCATTGGTCAACATTAATTGCGGTCATTATAAATTCTGCCTCGGCTTATGCTAGCCGAAGGGATTATTGTTTTTAAATATTAGTTATATCCTATTATATTTCTAGTTTTGTTTTTATGTAATGTAAGTGTTCAGTATATCTTCAATAAGATTCATCAGTTTTACTTTACACACAAACAATGTACGAATTAAACATGTTGCAACGTTTTAAGACTGACTGGTCCCTCTGTCAACCTGGGACGTTTTGCCTATCGATAGAGAACGTATACACACTGTATCAAATAGGTTACAGGTAGAGTGAAGATCTAGCCCCCTTTTCTGTTACCAGGGTAATTGTCAGTATATGAAAAGAATTTTGTGTTTTTTCTGTGAAGCGGATTGCTCCGAAAATCTGACAATCCCATATTGTCTGCACAACCTTGTGTTGGGAATGAGTAGATGATGGTGGGCTATTCAATCACCCTGCGTCTGTGGTCGGTCGTCGTCTGTTGTCAGTTGTCAGTCATCCGTCCTTCTCGCTATCGCTATTTCTCAGAAAGTACCGGAGGGATCTTTCTCAAATTTTATATGAAGGTTCCCCTTGGTACCTTGTTGTGCATATTAACTTTTGAGATTGATCAGATAAACAAAATGGCCGACAGGCAGCCATCTAGGATTTTGAAAGTGAAGGCTTGTTATCGCTTTTTTTCAGGAAGTGCTAGAGATCTTTCTCAAATATAACCTGTAGGTTACCCTTGGTCTGCAGTTGTGCATGTTCAATTTTGAGACTGGTCAGATAAACAAAATGGCCGACAGGCAGCTATCTTGGAATTTGACAGTGAAGGTTTGTTATCGCTATTTCTCAATAAGTACTTGAGAGATCTTTCACAACTTGGACATGTAGGTTCCCTTTGGTCTGTTGTTGTTCATGTCTTCTTTTGAGACTGATTAGAAAAAAGAAATGGCCGACAGGCACCCATCTTGGATTTTGACAGTGAAGGTTTGTTATCGCTATTTCTTAGCACTGGAGGGATCTTTCTCAAATTTGATATGCAGATTCCCCTTGGTCTGTAGATGTGCATGTTTTCTTATGAAACTGATCCAATACACAAATCTTTGATTTTGACAGTTAAAGTTTGTTAGTGCTATTTCCCAGGAAGTCCTGGAGGGTTCTTTCTCAAATTTTATATGTAGGTGCCCCACGGTCCTTTTTTGTTCATCATCACTGTTAATACTTTTGAGACTGATCAGATAAACAAAATGGCCGACCGGCGGCCATCTTCGGTTTTAGACATTGAAGGTTTGTTAGTGCTATTTCTCAGGAATAACTTGAGGGATCTTTCTTAAATTTAATATGTAGGTTCCCCTTGGTCCCTTGTGCATGTTTTATTTTGAGACTGATCATAATAACAAAATGGCCGAAGCAAGAACTAAACAGATCTTTTTCATATTGCAATGATAAGTTCTATTTCTATGTACTAGTAAATATGTGAAATGACAAACTCACAGTGAATGTTGTTTTTTATACACAGCAGTATTAAGTTTAGATCAAGAGTTACCTCAAGGTGCATTTACTGTATACATGACTCGGTCAAACAGATTAGAGAAAAGAAGAGAAAAGATCAAACTGACAAAGAACTAATGAAGGTGGTACAATGGTGGGCGCCAAGATCCCTCAGGGATCTCTTGTTTTCTTTTTATTATCCGATTAATAATCTTTTGAAAAAAAAAAAATTGTGAAACCCTCCACACTGTTGTCATTTGCTTACTCAAGTAAAAATCAATACCATTTTAGAAGAATCTAGCTGTGACCTCCTTTCAAACACTGAATCCGTAATTTATGGTCCTAAGTGGCCAATTTAGCGGACTTAAAACTAACAGTAAGTCAGTGATGATGTCGACACAGCAGCTGGAAATAAATATCAGGAGACTTCTCTGCTTAACTCGTTAGTATCTATCGCGGAGATAGGCCCGAGTTCATTAATCACTCTGCTGAAAACTCAATAACATCTACACAGATTATTTTGACTTAAATCAATCATGAGTTTTGTAGTCAATTAGTCGAGATTATTGACCTAAACGTCCGATACAGGTAGTCGACAAAGTTGTTTAAACGGAACACCACTACAGGTATATAGTTACAGCCAGTGTGTATGGTACGGTATTATATAACAGGGAAATTTTCGCGAAATCAAATATTCACCTTTCATTGTTAAAATCACTATTTGTCCATTGAAAATTTCGCCCTTCACATGCTATAACTATACAGGGTAGATGTACTAATAATTGCTGTCGTGATAAATTTGCCCTTATTGCGGAGGGCGAAAAAGGGGAAAATTAAACTGCAGCAAAAATTCTCAGTAGACTTAGTATATTATTACACTCAGAACACTGGTGTTGTTGATTCTTTTTGTTTATTTTGTCTTAAGCATAATTTTATAAACATTCTACAAGGTATGTTTTTCTTTTCCAAAATGATTTATCAAAGCTTTTTACTGTCATGCCAGAATTATTTTTTCTTAGGTGCATATAGTTACAGTTTCTGAAAATGGTACGGGGCTCCTTAATGGTCATGTGTAGCTTTAAATCCCTGCCCAAATGGCAAATTAAAGCTGATATGCCATACTCAACCCCTTGAGGCAGAGGGCCAGGGCCAAATAAGATTAAGGATATTTCTTCAAGATAGCGGCCCCCATTTTGGGAGAAGGATCCGTAGACAAAAGGAACTTAATGTTCTGAAAACATAGTTGTCCCTCCCCTCCTTGAAGGCATAGAAGCAAGGTCCGAGAAGAGAAAATCTACTAATCTTTAACAGAATACTGCTGTAGAATTAGCGAAGGCATTTTAACTAATTTGTGTAAAGAATTTCTGTTTCAAAGGGACTCAGTGTTATTTTAAGGAAATTTAAGGCATGTCCCCTGTGGGAGCATAGCGGCTGAGCCCAAAAATAGAGATAACTGTTTAAAAGACTACTTCTCTAGTATGAATAAAGCGAATTTAACATAATGACCTACTGCTGCATTAACAGGTTATAATGATCCTAACATGAGATTAACCCTTACATGCAGGGGCAAGGGATCAGGGTATGGGAAGGAGGGGCAGGGGGGTATAAAAACTAGGGATAAATGTTTTTATCACATAATGAACTGTGTTATCCAGTGAATATTAACCCATGTAATATGACCTATCAACCCTGAGATTGGTTGTAAGTTTCAATGGTTTCAATTGTGATGTCATGCCAATGACAATTATATGACATCACAGTCTTATACGCACTTGAGTCAAAATGGCGGCTTTTTTACATTTCAAGGTTGGATCAGAATTGTCGTTTTAAAATCTTGATTAAGTGATAAAAAGGATCTTACACTCGTTTCCATTTCTTATGAAATTTATGAAACTCATCATGAATTTTTCATTTAAGCTTGCCAGAGGCTCGCTAAATTGAAAAATTCTTAGACTTGTTTCTTAAGTAGTATGAAATGGAAACTCATGTAAGATCATATATACCGCTACTCTTCAAATATAAGGAGTGGGATTTTAACCTTATTTGGTGAAGAACACCCTTGGATTAAGAGGTTTAGGGACGCACAGTGTGGACTAACGGGTCTAATTGTGGGAACATAATATGACAATGGTTTAATTAGGCTTGATATTAGGAACAATGGTAAATATTTAAAGACTTTCATCACTAAAATCTTTCAGCCTGTTCTCACCTTATTCAGTTTTTGTAATTACTTTATCATTTTGTGATACCAGTTTAAACAGAAAATAAATCCTGGTAGTAAGCATTTACTTTGTCGCCAATATTGTCTTATTACACAAACTTCAAGGCCATTTTGACACTCCTTAACCTAAATGTGTTCTTAGTTTTCTCCTGCAATGGAAGTTTAGATGCCATTATGATACACAGCTAGTGACATTAATTTCTTTAATTGTCGAAAACCTACAACTGAAATTCCTGCCAAGTTTCAAGGCCTTGCATGGTTCTGTAAATAAAATTTCAGATGTCCAATTGCCAAACCGATCCTGTACGTGTTATGATGTTCATCCATATGAGGCTTTTATAGTCATTTCCCTACAGTATGTTGTAAATGTGTGCTTTTGTGTCAGCTTCAAAACTAGGTGCAACTCCTCATAAACTTGTGCACCGATTTCAAGTACCCTCTGATGATGTGCATCCCGGTAATATTTTTTCATTCTGACACTATTTCACGGAGTCATGGCTATTTGTTGAAAGATCATTGTCCTGACAACTACTCCAAAACTGCTTGGCCAATTTCAGCAGCGGTATTATTTTTTTCATTCCGACAC